TTTGAAATGCGAAATTTGTAATAATTTGGAACGAAATATACGTGACTCATGTTAGTTTCATATCACTCATGCAATTAATGATTAATATAATAATTATACAATTACAGTTAATGATTAATGTAATAATCTAGATATTATAATTAATAATTAATATAATACTCTATTTATTATAATTAATCATTAATATTGTAATCTAATTATTATAATTACGAAATGAATATAATTTTCAGATTATTAATATAGATTGTAGATCATTGCTGGCTGACTTTGCGAACACAGCAAATATTTCCTTCACTCACGTTAATTTCTATATTCTCCTATTGTTTCCAGTGCACTGTTTATGTCTTACATTTCTCACAATTCTTCACCACCATTTCTTAACGTAGTATCTTAATAATTATTGTAACCTACTGCAACAATGATTCGTGCTCATTACACGGATATGACAATTGTCTGCAATCGTGAACGATTTTTATCTTACATGTCCTTACGTTGATTATCGTAGTCAGCTTCTTATACATTAGACGATCTGCGTCAAAGATGAATTTTTTACCAACAATATTCATTAGGAAGGTTAAAGTAATATCTGAATATCATTGGTATTAAAAAGCATGATTTTATAATATTTTTCTGAATATCATACATTAAAATCGTTAAATGAAATATCTTATTGAGAATAATCTTTGAATTTCAATTATAATTAGCTCGAGTATTATAAAAAGCATAATTCTTTGATATCATTCTGTATATTATTAAAATTATTAAACAAATTATTTCATAATATTTAAACATTTGTTAAAATATGATCGTTTTTCGTACGCAGAAAAATTAAAGGAATAATCAATAAATTTATATATATATTTTCCATGAAGAAAAAATAATAATTTAATTTGAAAATCAAAGATTGCACATTTTAATATTACGTTTATCAAGACTGATGTATAATACAGTCGTGAAAATAATTATATTTGCGTAACAATTGCAATATATCAATCATTATTCGTTATATGATTCATGCTTTGTGACAATTTAATTAATTTCTTTCAAGGTAAGATTTTGTCAAACTTTTGAAATATATTTCATGTAGAAACGTTGACGAACAATATTACACTTATTTAAACAAACACCAAACACAAAAGTATCACATAAACGTATCCTGATTGGGAACATGTGTATTACGATTAACAAATTTTTATTTCTTGTTATGTTACAATACATAATATCGTAATTTTTCCTGGACCAACTCTGTCATTCTTCTTATACTATATTCTCGTCAGAACAAATGAAATATGTATATAATTATTTATATAATATTAATTTTAATAATCAGTATACAGAAAATGTCTTATACAACGCTTACGTGGTTTGAACTGCCGCGAAAAAATGGCTGCCAGAAAACCGCGCATGCGCTGTGAAAATGAAAGGTTACATTCTTACGAAAAATCGTAGTAATATCATAATTAACCTTAAATTCAGGATAATTAATTAATTTTATACTCACAAATGAACATTTTGAAATATCTAGTAATTAATATCTAAGGATTAATATCTAGTGGTGACATTTGTTGTCGATTATCCATCATTAACCTCTTTTTACGTTGGATCATAATTGAAAATTCCTTCACATCTTCATATTTCGTATTTTTAATAAACCATAAAAATTTATATAAAATTCCTTTGTTACTCATTGTCCTCCTTATTTAAAAATTGACGTAATTAGATATTTAATTAAGTATTTCTCATACAAATGCATACAACGTACTGACAATGTTTGTCTGGGAAAAATTAAGACCTTTGTTTATTACTAACTGGTAATTTATACCGTATTGCCGATATTACTTCGTTATTGTTGATTTTTAATTATTCCAATTAATTATAAATTAAAACACGCTGTTCGAAAATGAAAATTAAATTTCGATCATTCTGTCAGAAACCCATAACTTACCAAATACTCGAATTGCTGCGACACACATTTCATTGGTAAAAATAAAACCATCACAATGTATAATACCGTGTACACGAACAAAAGTATATTTACATATCAGTCATCAATAGGACATCTCGTCAATTAGTTTCTAAATAAATACACGTTTCCTGCGTATTTACCAACGTACAATTCGATATTTTTGCATGTTTCGAACGATATTTGCACATGCGCGAATAAATTTGATTTTACCCTTTGCCTGTCAGGTAAATTACAGTGGATTATTCCCTTTATTTCACTTTATCAGTCGCGACATCGATGACTAATTCGATTATGTACGATTCCGATGTATACCCACGTTGAGACTTGTATCTCTGTTTCTACAATATAAGTGTTTTTGGATAGTGAAAATGATTAATCACATTTGGGAAAATTGAAAAATAGGCTATTTCGAAAACTAAAACCGAATTACAAGCAAAGATATCACGTAGTAATCCTTTTACGAGTACATGTTCGACCAAATAATTTGTGTTAGTAATATTGTACAAACAATATGGCACACATAGCAAAAGGAAAATTCCAGGATTATATCAGTAAAATTAGAAAATAATTCAACGATAGGTACTATAGTTACATTACATTTATTGGAGATATGGACCGTGGTGGCGCTAGTGAGTTAAGTGGAAAATCGTCTCAAGGCTGCCTTAAAACACTCACTCGTGAAAGGGTTAATGGTGTTAATATTCACGTGTTAAATTTTTATGACATAAGTGTAATAAAACATAATATTTTGTTTTTCTTCAAAGAGAGAAGAGATTATTATTAGGGTTGAAAAATTTGTAATATATGCATAGGTGAAATTGTAGGTTAGAATCCTTGTTCTTGAATTTGGAAACGAGCCTTTGTTAAAAATTGGAATAGCAGAATTGCAATCAGTGATTTCTAGCTTTTTTATAAAACCCCATGACCCAAATAATTACAATAATTTTTTATTATTATTTATCATCTTGATTGAATATTAAATATTCTTTTGTAAACAGAAGCCCTCAAAAATTAGAATAATAAATTATTTACATAATATTTATAATCATCAATATATTGGTTACTTAATAACTAATATTTCAAATATGAAATTAAATAAAAAAATATTTTTTACAACAATTTATGAAAAAAGTAGCATTTTAAAGCTATTCAGAGTTATTAAAATTACATTATAATAAATAATAAAATTATTGATTAATTCGAATATAATATTATACTTTAGCTTCTATTGAGAAAAAATTCGTTCATTTTCTCAATAGAAATAGGCCATAATTTTATATAAACATCTAGATAGGCCTTTGTTTAAATTAAACAGGTTGTTATACATAGAAACTACTAAAGTCCTTAATAATTTTGTTAATAATAATTAATTAATTAATAAATCAACAATTTCATATTTTACAACTCTGTTATGGTTGTCTGGTTAATGTTTATTTAATAGCCTATTTTTTAAAGTCCTAATCGTTCACGTTTATGTTGAAAATATGCAAAAATTTACAGTACAAGACCTCCAAAAGTTTCCAATTTCACAAGTTTCCATTATAAATATTAGGTTAGTGCATAAGAAATGTTGGTTTCTCCAGCAAAACTTTAGCCATACTTTTAAAATAATTTCCACTTTTTTAACAATTAACTAACTTCGTTGTTCCGGGAACTTGAAAATTCTATGAGCCCTACTTCTAGAGTTTCTTCACTGCAAACTAATTTATTCCTTCAAAAATTATTTAGTTGCTCGAAAAATAAAAAATCCGTAAACGAAAGATCGAGAATTTTTCATTATTTTAATAACAATAATTTTTCATGATTTTAACTCGTATTTAATTTTAAATTCGAGTACTCGGGTAATAATAATATAAAAAATTGTTCGTATTCCAATTTTTCATAATTTTAGGTAATTCTCCATTCATGAGATCTTATAATATCGTATAATAGGGCTGATTTCCATTTATTCAACAGCACTGATCGTTCCTTTATTTCATTTTACATAAATTTCGTGCATTTATTTACAATACGTATTTCCAGGATGTATCTGCTGTTATTGTAAATCCCGCCTGTAACAAATAATACTGAATAAAGCCAGCAGAGGGCGACTAAACACTCAATGTGTTATTCCCTGTGACTGAAACGTTGATTTTCTGCTATTTATGTCTCAATAATTTTCGCTTATTGTGTGAAATTTACTGTCCATCACAAATAACGATACATTTTAAAAATGAACCTCGTTTACTTCTTTAAAATTACGAAGTAATTATCTCTAGTCATCTAATCTCTCACACATCGTTTAGGTTATGTACAATTTGTCTTCTACTTTTCTGTTTAACAATACATAAATGACAAATACGAACAGAATGATATATATACAATCATTTGTTATTCAATTATTTACCATGAATTGTTGTATTACACAAAACATAACCTATAAATGCCAAAATATTTACAGAAAGATCAGTGAAATTTTTCTCAAATTCAGATTACTTCCAATAAAGCAAGGTAATATTTTATTACAAACATGGAAATATTTAAAAATATTGAAAATAATATTTATTTATAATATATAATATTTCCATAAACAAATCTCCTCAGCTCGTGTATTTACATAATAAATTAGATTACTATTGACATAATGAATGTTTGTCTCAGATACTGGTGATAATGATCGAGGATAGATCGAAGTTTAATGAAAACGACATTTCACGTGCACTAACCTAATAATGTCGCTCGTAAACACTGCCCGTAAAGGAAAGGGAAACATAACCTTACTTAACCGCACACACACTTGGATATACTTGAATAAAACTTCACGTAGTTTGTCGATTTTCGATCAGATTTTGTCAAGCATGATTTTTACGGCTTATGAGCCAAGGTTATGCTTTGATATGGTATTGAGGATGTGTCGTTAGGTAATCGGCGTTTAAGGTAGGCTCACACGTGCGATGTGGAGTGAAGGAACGATCGATCGATCGATCTGTTCCGAGCGGATACAAAAGAAAGCTTGACGCATCTCGATAACCAATAAATGGCTACATCGACGCAGGTAACCGGCGAACAGCCAGTGTGCGCTCGGTGGGCTACTCGGACCTCTTCGTCCTCAGCAAGAAGGACATGTGGGACGTCCTGAAGGAATATCCCGCGGCCAGGATCAGACTGGAAGCCATCGCAGTGAAGAGGCTGGAGAAGTATAAGAGGGCTCCCCTCGAGAAAGGTAAGGATTTATAACTGTTGTTTCATTTTAGTATCTCACAATTGGAGGTTATGCTTTATTAGTCATTAATTTCATTGATGTATGAGAATAAATTGTTATTTAATATTTGGTAAATAAATATGTAAGTAAATTTATGATGCAGAGTCAAGGAAATAGAATAAAATATAGAAGAAATAAGTAGGAAGTTGTGTATTTATGTTTAAAATTACATGGCATTATTGAGGTTATGGAAATTATTGTTCGAGTAATATATTGTAGAATTGCACGTCGTAGATTTGTGAAATATACTAAAATATTTTATGGATAATGTTCTGTATATAATAACTGAGTTGTTAATTCCACAACATCCAGATTGTTTTATTATTGGAGAAATCTTCTCTACCAACAGAGTCAATATTGTGTCTTGTTTGATAATGTTAATTTTATTTGATCTTTCTCGGTTATGTAACAAATTTTCTGATGTTAATCGTAATGTTAATGGCCATGAAACCAAAAAATACAAAAAAAGAAAAAAAAAAAAAAATAGAAATACCAGTCTGAATTTTGTTTTGTAAGAAGAGAAAAAATACTATAATTGCTATAGATAAATTGGTGGTGTAATATCACAAAAGACTTATTTTTCACATACACAAGTACAGGTATCAAAATCTCTCAAAATAAAAAATATACTTATAACAGGCTGCTGTTACAATCACTGCCACATATACATATATACACACAAGGGTGAATAAATATTAGGCAATATATTCATATTAATTATTGCTTCTATCAAAATTCAAAAACATATACTAAAACTGCTTGAAACAAACGAATAAAAAAATGCTTAAATATATTAAAATTCAGTAACATGTTATACAAGAACTACTCTAAATTAAAAAAAACAAGAAACTAAAAAAAATAAATAAATAAATGTTATTTAAACTCATCAATAAAATATTTGAATATTATGAAATATTTCTTAACATTCCCAAATACTTATGAATATTGTAAATATAATATAACTAATTTGTGAATATTCATTACCAGAAATTCATATCTGAAATTCTGGTTTTGCAAAACTTCCAGAAAATAAAATTCTGCTGGTCATTCAGAACTTTATTTTCTGTTTGCTTGAAATATCTACTATAAACTTGAGTACAAGGCTAGTCATACCAATTCTTGGTGTTTATAGAAATATTATGAGCAAGTTCAACTTTGATAATAATTCCTGATTCTTTTACTGGTACTTCACAAATTCTGCTGTGTACAAGGGAATATCAGTTTATGGTGGACACGCAAGGTCTGGCCAGTCAAGTACAGATGGCGTGCACACTGCGTCTTGGTCAGTTAACTCCAGATGGCGCACGAGTAGCACAGTCCCTGATTTATGATGGCGTGTAGCACTCTCAGACCTTGCACTTTATGACATAATAGTAACTTCAAGCGAAACATTTGTAATATTACTACTTGCAAAGAGTCACAGTTTTGATTTAAATCATTAAGAACCTGAAATAACACGCTTAAACTGGGAAACATAATTCATAAGAAGGCATGATTTCAAATAACAAATAACATGAAAACTGTAAGTCTCTAGTAGTATTTTCGAAATACAAAAACGATTCCAAATATTTTTTTTAAAATAACTGAACTTCTTAATTTGCAATATTTTTGTTTTAAATAATATAATTTATCGCAAGATCTTCTATTGAGTATGTTGTAATAAAATGACAGCCTGGAAACTCATCCATCTTTCACCTTTCATCTTTGAAACCTAAATGGCGCTGAACTTCATATCAGGCAAAGGTAGCTAACTACATAGAAAGCTTGTTTCTTCTTACAAGCATCTCCTACATTTCATATTTATGACTCCTAAAATTTTTAGAAGTTGTTATTTATGAGAGTAGTAAATGCAGTACATTTTTCTGGCTAAAGGTAGTTATGTATAAAGTTAAAAAATTAAACTCCAAGGACAAATTTTAAAATTTTAAAACTCTTGTTTTGTACGTATAGTATAGGTACTAAACACAGATACTAAATATTCATTCTAAAGAATATTCGATGTCTTTTTTTACGATATTCTACTTTTTAACGCCCGTGTAAAAATAGTTATGTCTCTTTGTGCATATTTTTCCACAACTTTTTCGAAAGAAAAATGTAACTATGAATCCATTATAAAATTTTTGTAAAAAAGATTTTCATTTGCGTAACATGCTTATCATGTTGACTATAGCGAAGCTTTACAAATGTTGGAAGATTGATTGGCGGGTAGTTGTGCTTGTTGCACGTTGCAGTAATAAAATACCGCGTCTCTCCGGCTATTGTGGTCCGTAAAAAATATCTTGAAAAGATAAAATTTAAAAATTTTCTATAGTCATGCGATACTACACCGTTGTATATTGAACAGTCATTCACATAACATTTATTAACATATTTCTGCACTTTAAATAAAATGCAATTTTGGAATTAAAAAGTTTAAAAATACATAATAGATAAAGTAAATTTATATTGTATATATATTTATAAAATTCAATTATTATGTACAATATCTTAAAAACAAAATCCCATAGAAATAACAAATTGGTATAATATTATATTGCCACCATTAGAAAATAAAAATTTGTAACTAAATTTTTAATTATTTAAAAAAGAAAAATATTCATATCAAATAAACAAAATTAAATAGGTAAATAGGAGTCTTGTCAAGTGTAATTTCATTTTACCTTTTAATGACGAATTGTCAAAAATATAGGTTATGAACGCCTGGTAAAAGCAATCCGCTGTACACTGGCCATCTCCATGTAATATCGTATCAATAACTAAGTCTGCTATAATTAAACAAATTTTTATATTTATAACTTCTCTATCACATTTTCAAAATATGACTCGTAACTATAGATCATAATTTCATTTCTCCTTCTAATAATTTCGGACAATATCTAAACCATAGATTTCTTTAAATAGGAAATATAAAAATCCTGCTATTACTTCATTATTCTATAATAATATAATATTCATGACACAAGACGAACCTAATAATTACATGGATTCAACAAAAATCTCGAAGCACTGCCAAAAGAACGACTAATTCTTTTCTCCTAAATCCCGAGTCACCGTAATAAAGTTTCGCGACATAACCTCATAGACGTAACTACAAAGAACCTGATTCACGATGCGTCGACAACAGGTGTGGGCGACCCGGTGGATTTCAATTAATTAACCCAGAAGTTGAGTGCAAAACAAACGCAACTTCTCTTCCCGCTTGTCTCGACGTTGTTCTTTCATTGGACGAAAGTTCGCGTCGTTGCGAACGACGAACTTTCGAAGCGACGCATCCCATCGTGTACTTACGTACTCCGTGGCGGTGAAGGGCTTGTCGTGTCCACGCACACATGTATACACGCGTCATGTGACGCGGTATACGCGCGAGGCGCGTGCGCGCTGTCGTCGACTGCAGTGGCTGCACAATGAGAAAGGCGGTGGCTTAATTAAAGAAGCTCACCGTGGTGAAAATGAGAAGCGGTTAGACGGCGTTGTCGAAACGCAGCCAGATCCGCGAGGCCCGTTCTCGAACAAAGGACCCGAACATGGAACAAAGCGGACAAGCTTGAGACGAATTTCGAGGGGGGGAAAAAAGATAGGAGAAAAAGGAGATGGCGCTCCAGAGCAGAGTCGACACGAAGTAACGAGCAAGTCGTTAATGTGTTTCGGTTCTATTGTGCTTTGCTGCGATATAGATGTCGCGTTTTTATGGATATCGTGTTAAATAATTTATATTTTTGTTATTTGAAGCTCGAATTTATCGTAGAAGTATCGATGTACAAAAATAACTAGTTATACATTAACTTATTAACTGTTGAAGATCTAGTTAGAAAGATCTAGTAACTATTTCTTTTTTCTCTTATAAGGTGAATAAATGCGAATTTTGTTAGATATGTTAATATCTAGTATATTTAATTTTAAAACTTAGTATCGATCTCAAGAAATAACTAGTTATATATTAATTTATTAATTATTAAAGATCTAGTAACTATTTTTTTCTTTTTTCTTTTTTTTATAAGGTGGATAAATGTGAATTTTATTATATGCATTAATGTTTAATATATTTAATTAAAAAACTTAGTATGATTTTTATTGCTTGATAAGAATTAGAATAATATAAAATTTTAATTTGCATAATTTTTAATTATTTAAAAACTTAATCACTGTTACCGGATAACGTAATATATATAGGATAACAATACTACATTAAAAAATAGACCATTTTATATTTCAAACGAGTTTCGTATTAAAGTAAATCACCTGATAAACTGAAGTAGTATAAGTACTTAATTTCCCGCCAATGAATCATCTGATTCAATGAAATAAGCTAAAGCAAAGGATCAAGAAGCTTTGAAAGCCATTCATCTCCATCAATACGACACACCACGTTTTATTTGAAGCTCGATCGTCGAAGCTCATCCTTCGTAGTTACTGAAGTGTTATGTGAGCAACTACCACCACAAATTGAAGGAATTAGATCACGATTCTTTTTGTTTCACTTTTTATAAAACAATTTCAAGAAATATTTATAAAGCACAAATTAAAAAATTACGAAAAAAGTGGAAGATATAATACATTCGTATTATAATACAGATAAATATAATATAATATATTTTACTAGCAAAATTAATATAAAAGTAACAAAATTTGTATTGGAAATGTTACATCACATTTTTATTGCAAATCTTGCATAAATATACAAATTATTTGGGTACAAAATATATAACAAGTAATTTTATTCTCTTGAATGTTACATTTTATGAAAATGAAATTAAATATTATTAAAATACCACGCAAAATTTCAACATACAGCGCCGATTGCGGACTCGTTTATAAAATCAGAATTCGAATATGAGATTGTTTTTCACAAGAACGTTGCGAATGAATAAAACACGGCATCACCGGTTATTCCCGTTGGTTATCGAAAAATCGTATGGACATGAAATCGAAAAATGTAATTCAATCGAACAGTGCAGGCGGTTCAGAAACAAAAATTGCTTGAAATTCCATCCCAATCTCGTGTTTAAAGACAAACTAGATTTTGTGTCAAAGGTAACTTTGTATGGATCAAATGTACAGGAAATAATTATTTTTCACTTATTTATTATATTTTTAAAATAAATATACGAAATGAATTTGAAATAGTAATTTACAGTAAAAATATTTGACAGTCAGTTTTATTGAATATTATTCTCTTACTCTTAGTTTATTTCAACAAAATTACACTTGAATGTCCAAAAAACATTTGCTTCTTACTAAATATTTAGAGTGATACAGTATACCATAAATCAAATCAAATTTTTTTTCCAAGTAAATTTGATTCATAATTAGCATAACATATTAATGAAATAAATAAAAAGCATCTGCATTAACATCTCACAAATTACTATCAGAACAAGAATTATTAAAAAATGAATACCTCTATTAATTAATACTAACAGAAAAATACACTAATTGTAAGATGTTATATTATATATAATATGTTATATAATATTATATATAAAACAAAATAATATTGGAAAACATCTAATTATAGTATACCTACAGGTATTAATATTTATACTACTATACTACTTTTGCAACAATTCATATAAAGTTATTTAAGTAACAAATATATTTCAAAATCTAGACGTATGAGATAAGAATAAACTATAGTTGCACCAATAAATCCATATAATAGGTGAAAATATATTTTTGACCATTCAAGGTATTATGAATAAAATAAATATCAAATATCTCTAAAATAACCAAATACTTCAATAATATCAGCAAAGAAGCAATACCATGACTTGTCAAAGTAAATTTTCCCAATTAACTAATTCACCTATCATAATATCTCATTATTTAATATATATTTATTATTCATATTAAAATCTCTAAAAATTTCTTATTTACCATAAATAATACTTATCCCTTCAATATATAATCAAGAATATAATCAGGACATATTCATTCACCCTGTACACGTCTTTACTATTATCTTGTCCACCATCTTGTAAAAGCACCTGCCTCTACATTCTACAAAACCATCAGTAGAATTCCTTGAACACGAAGATACAGACAAAACATACACGTTTGACTCGAGTAGAAGCCTTATCAGAACCCAAGGCAACTGTTTCTGCGAAAATGAACTTCATACTTGTGCCATGTCACATTTTATGTCCACGATACGAACTTTCAGCCGCAATGGGACGATGTCAAAGCACGCCAGGACTCGTGGAGTCACGAGGTCGTATACCATTGGAGGAGATGTGGGTTTCACCCGTGGACACAAAGTCCACTCACGCGTACTCGGCTGGCCACTCGTTGTTCTCTCCCAGCCCGAGCCCTGTGACGTCGCGTGGTTTGGCCGGCACAGGGAACAACGTCAACGCGAACAACGTAGCGAGGAGCATGGATAGTCCGATGAGTGCCACTAGCAGCGGCCACAGCAGCGAGGAGCAAACCGCCAGGGCACCGCAATCCGCGACCGCACCGCCATCTACCGGCAGACAATCCACTCACTCTGGCAAGTATTTCATCTTGAGCGCCACCGACTGGAAATATACGCCCCCCTACTGAATTCTTCCACCCTCGATTCTCTTTCTAAACTCTCGGACCTTCAGATTGAACGCATTTTTCCTCCCTGATTTAATGAACGTTAAATCACGAAAGAATCTTGCTATTCCCTTGAAATTGAAGCTTTCATGCCTGATGCACGGTATCGTTTGATTTACCGGTTGATTTACGTTTGAAAGGCATTCCGCGATCGGCGAGAATTCGAAGGATTTAAGAAAGAAAAAAGTGAATCTTTTTAGTAGAAAAATAAATTGGGAATTTGGAATTATAACTTTTCGTGGAGAATTCTTGGAAGAAATTAATTTTATTCATTTATTGAAAGAATATTAGTTAAGTATAGATTGTATATTACACTTGAGCCATATAGAAAGTAAATTAATCAACTTCATTTTTCGAAGATATTAATATTTTCAAAAATACTATATAATTTACCCATAACATCGCAGTGAGTTATTTATTTTAGCATAACGTGCAATGATATGTATAGTTATATAAAAGTTACCATTTATTTAAATTAAATGCTTTAGCTAATTTTGGTGTCATTAGTGACCACCATGGCGCTAGTAGCAAATTGAGTGCCAATTACTGATAACCCCTATACAGAATTCAATGTGCTAAGTACAAATTGCGAATTTTACTATTGAATAAATGGAGCACTAAATTTTCAAAATTAACTTTTAAAGACTTCCATTTTACAAAATTATTAAATTGATGGATATATTATTTTTTTAATTTCTTTTTTTTAATATTTTCATTTAATGTGTTACTCTTACATGGATAATTAATATATCATTTTTGGAAACGATTAAATACAATGGAATTCTATGTGGCTCGATATGTCAATTATTATTTTTATGGTGAGTTATGTCAAATGGTATGGAAATACATCCTAAGTGAGATTGAAGAAGACAAATAACAATAAATATTAAAGTAATAATTATTTCGTAACTTTTTCATCGCTTTTTAAAAGATCTCCTTGAAAAATGGAAATAAATAAATTGTAGAATTTTTATAATGAACTTTAATGAAACTATAAAACAAATTTTATACATAACTAATGAAAATTAAAAATAAAAACTAATTCTCTTATTTCAAACCACACGTGACAACAAAAATTATTTTTATTTAAAAATGGATGACTTTGGTTACGCTAACCAGTTCATAAATTTTTAATTAAATTTTACCCATAAAGCATTCTTTGAGTCTAAAGATTTCTTAAAACCGATAAATATATGCATATGAGCCAGAGATTGGAGTGATTCGTAATTCGTAATTGTTAATAAATTTTATATAAAAATTTGTTTTTAAATTTATATTGAAACCCGAAGTATTGTTATATAAGTATTAAAAAGCAAAAAGGTTTCACGTATATCGGTTTCGGTTGCAATTCTACTAGTTTTGGAATATTAGTTCCATATGGGTGCAATAAAATTTTATTATAAATCTTTGTTTCGAATTACATTCCCTTTCCCATAAAATGGACGTGGATACGTTTCTACAAAAGCCATATCATGCTATGTCTAAAACATTTGACATTGTTTATCTTCTGCATTGTACTAGAGGGAGTATCAGATTACATAGAAAATGGACGTAATTGTCCATATTGTTTTGACTAAAAGAAGCTTTAACAGAAGTCACATCATGTGACAAGAAATCATTTATAATTTCATAGACAGATTACGCAATCTTTATTTATGAAAACTAAACAGTCATATTTTTTAAAAATTGAGTATTAGTAAATTCAAATAATAAAAAAAAGCTCTAATAGTCAATAATAGTAGAATAATAATAATAGATTACAATACTTATATTAATAAAATCAGTAAGAGAATAATATTGATAATTATTTTGTTAATATTTGCAACAATAACTATGAATATATTATAAAATTGATATGGTAATACTAACAACTTGGTAATACTAAACAAACAATTTCTTAATTATTAACAATGTCGAAGAAAAAGGAGAAAAGATTTATAAAGAATTAATAGAAATCTTTATAACGAGTGAGTCACGAATAATTATATGATACAGCTGGAAACCTTCGGTCTCGATATAGTGGAAACTTTTGATATCTATAGTCTAGATAACACTAAAAGTAGATATAGAAATCATAGAATAATTGTAATCAGCCATCTTGTAAATTATGTCATTTATTTACAAGATGGCTGATTACAATTATTCTATGATTTCTATATCTACCTTTAGTGTTTTGAGATCATAAATTTATATTTTGAAGATAATTCGAACAATTTATAAAAGTATTTAACCCTTTGTGATTTTTTGGCTAAAGAAGGGTACGAGTTGAAAAATTATCTGTGACAAAGCTGATGGTGTTTTTTGAGCTATAAGTGAGGAATCGTATAATAATTAACACGTAGAATTATTTCTTTTCGATACCTCGCACACTGTTATATTATTCAAAATTTGATATATTAATTAATATCTAGCTTCGAAATTTTATCAAATGGCGACTGAAGGGCGCCTCTCGAGTGTAAAGGGTTAATATTCACTTATCTGATCGAATTTATCATTTCCATGATTGAGAAAGGGCATAAGAGATAATAATATTCAGAGGACTACAAAATAGAATCGATATAGAGGTAGATGCTATTAGATCCATAACTGTAACCGATATGAGACTGAAACGGGACCGATATAGAATATAAGAACTAGATACTAGAATGGTAACCGAACCCGATATCTTCAAGAATTCAATTCTTTATAACTGTTGTGGAAAATAACGATCCTTTGGAACTGTTTCCAGAATTGGAATCCATATAACAGTTTTCAGCCCCTGATCTGAACATAATATATATATATGCATACTTTCTTCTAACATTTTTCCTAATTGCATCATAAAAAGAGTAATGACTTATAACAGTTACATGACCTAGTCCATGTATTAAATGAGTGAGTCAGAGGTGTATTATAAATAATCTGCTGCATTTAGCCAAAGTATTGAATGTATATATGAATAATAATATATAATAATATATATTATGATAATATTAATTATTATTAAAATATTATACAATATTACTATTATATACTATTATTATTATATTATTATTCATATATATTCATTTAGCCAAAGTATTGAATGTATATATATATATATGAATATTCAATACTTCTAACTCATGCATTTAGTACATACACTAACTCATGTAACTGTTACAAGTCATTACTCCTTTCATGATGTAATTAAAGAAAAATATTAGAAGGAAATAAATGATTCAGATAATATTATTTTTTGAAGATCATATTCATCATATCAGTACAACAAAACATATGCATTTAGCAATTATATTAGGTTTTTAAATGGATATGTACATTTACTTCTACATATTAAAGCTTACTGAATCGTTATAAGTAAATATTTGTACATCCTATAAATTTATTTAGAGATTTAAAAGAACATTCAACACTAGTCAGAAGTTATCTTTAGTTGCAAATATAATTAAAAAGCTTCTTATGAAACGTATATAATGTAATAGACGAGAATTTGATCATTTTCATCGATAAAAATATTTATCTCTGTTTATGGTTTTATTTAGAAATCATTAATCTCCCCCAGAAATCAATTAATTTCTTAGCGTAATAGAATAGTACTGAGATTATTATCGTTTATTTCAAATGGAAATAACGAATTCTGAATAGACAATAATTCAAATCGTGCGTAATCACGTCTAATGAATTTTTAAAATTCATTTCCTTGCAAGCAAAGTTCAATGAGAAATAAAAAATTTATATTTATCAAAGCGTGAAAAATTTCCTTCTTTCTCGTTACACTACAAATTTAAATTCTTGGAAATTATTGGCAGATAAAATCTTATCTTATTTTTGCATATTCTGCACATTTATTTTGCTCTCTTTATCGTGAAATTTTTTTGTGATAACTCACACGCGTGTCCATAAGTGATCATAAATAACGAACATGAGAATATTTTTTAATAAAAAGCTATATTAACGTTTAATAGACGATATGCTTTATATGAATTACAATCTATATGCATTATCTATGCTGCATAAATTTTACATAATGAAGTTTACATAACGAAATAACATAAATAAGAAAATGAAATAAAGAAAAATATAATAAATTTTGAATATGACAATAATATTAAATCCCTGTCAGGAATAAGTATTCACCATAAGTGATTATAAAGTTACTAAATCATATATCTGAATATTTATACCACAAATAACACTGTTTTGTCCTTTAATCAAACGACTTATCTTACTTGATTAAAAAGTAAGTTAGAAATTCTCAATATTTCAATTTATCATTGATCTTATCATAAAAATGTAATTCCTAAAAATTCATTTAATCTTTTTAAAATCATACATAAAGTCACTGTTTAGCACAATGTTCATGACCTTATAAAAATATATATCTAATATATATATCTAATACTACATTATATAAGTACAGAAATAAAAATTGACTAATAACTTGTTACTATTCATAATGATGCTAACACTCCATCATTTAAGCAGATTGTCATAAATGTAACATTTTTATAATATAATATAACATATAACTATTTAAATAAATATTCAATAAAAAAGAAAACCAATCATATAGAACAAGGTATTTTGACTCAGAGAACTATACATAAAACATTGGAACAATTTGAAACTAAAATTTATTGGTAATTTATACTTTTCCTTAATTAACAAAAAATTAGGCAGGTAAATACTATAAATGGACTTATAAATTACTTATAAATTAATTATGATACAAACGTTTCTGGTTAATTGATTGATATGACATACATGATCCATTCTAGGTGTGACCGGCAACAGCATGACTCAATTAGTCGGCGAAGGTGCCACACCACTTTTAGGAACTAACGAAGCTTTATTGGCCGAAATTAAACGCCTTCGGGAACGTCTAATTTGTTTGGAGTCTGAAAACGCAGCAATGAGTTCGAAACTAAATCAACAACAATGGGAAGTTGAGAATAGATTGGCCGAAATCGAGATGCAGATTTGCGGTGCCAGCTCCTCTTCCAGTTTAGAGGACAACAATGAGAGAAATCGAGAAAGTATCATTTAACAAGAAACAAGGCCGCGAGAGCGCGGCAAGACTAAGATAGCGCGAATACGACACTACTTGGCTGATGCTACTGACGATAGGTAATGTATTATATTCCTTTTCATCCGAAACTCATCTGAAAGAATAACTTTAAATGAATTCTTTTGGATCTTTGGTTCAAGAAAATTTGAAATAACATATAGCATATATTATAATTATGTACCTAATTCTGATCAGCTTTTCATATATGTGAATTTCCGTTGTAGATATGCAGTAGATGATAAAGAAGAACTTGAAGAAGCTAGAATCTCTGGTAGATCTAGTGATACAAAATCAATTGGTAGCCTCAGTCAACATTTCTTTGAGAGTGATGAAGATGAGAAATACTATGGCACTTGTAATGGTTACGTTTCTCAACCTGGCAGCAAGTCAAATCTACTGCTATGCAGTGAATGTGATCAGAAAACTCGTACCTGCACGTACAGACCGCAAACGCCTGGCTCTTATTGTAGTAGATACGTTGAAGAACGTTTCGACGATCAACTTCAAGAACCAGGAACTTCTCGCACATATAGAAGCCCAAGTCACATGTCTTCTCCTCGGTCGGTATATCATGATCAGGATTATAGCGGTCAATCTTCTTCGCCTAAGTCATTGTATCGTGATCAAGAATATCAAGCTCGAAGAGGTTGGACGAAAAAATATGAACAGGAGCATGATCGAAGAGACTATGAAGACAGAGACCTAAAGCAAGATGATGACAGTCCTGTCTGTGAAGTCTGCCATGGAAATGGTAATGTTGTTCAATGTGAACATTGTGACTTTTCTAGCGAAGGTGATTTAATATGCTTCCGATGTCAGAGTGATGAAGGCTCATCAAATGGTCAGAATTGTCCCCGTTGTGAAAAAAATGAGAGAATACTGTCTAGTAGAATAGGATCACAAAGGGGTGCAACATCATCCAGTGATGAAGGAAAGTACCCAGTAGATGCTGTAGTAAAAATCCAAGTTAATGACCATATGATTGATGTAGACTCAGATGAGACACCTGAAAGTGACTTATCAAGTAGTCATCACCACCAGAGAAGTACAATGGAACGACTAGATACTATTGTTGAGGCAAAGGGAGACACTGCCAGTGAAAATGATGAGGAAAACGGGGGTACAAAGCTAAATGGAACTAGTAGCGCAAGATATCTCAATTATATGATCGTACTGTTTCTGTAAATAATATGGTTATGGTAGCTGCAGTTGAGCTATGGATTATGCTGGTAAATGGAGAATATTGTTTTGTTGAATTTAGTAACTGAGAAATGATAAATATAAAGATACTTATAATACTTTATAAGTTTTAAAGTCTTAAATGATTTCATAATAGGTATATACATTTATATTGCACTATTATACTATTGTTATAATATCATACTTTTTGTGCTAGTGGTATTGATAGTATACTATTATAACATTTCTTACTCTATAAAAACATACTACTTTGATAACATTAAGCTACATTCAATTTAAACTGAATTGGTATAATACAAAGCCTAATACCTTTCACTAATATGAAATTATATATATAAAAAATAACAAATTTTGCTAAATATATTTTAAACAATTCTTTTGAGAATCAATAGTGGACTGCTATTTTATGTTTTAACATAAAATATTTTAGTAAAAAGAGAATAACTATGATTGTTTTATTAGAATCTTTTTGATTTTTTTATTATAATTCTTATAGTTTTATAATTATAATAATTTATATTCCTTGCATTATAAATAAAATAAACAATATAGAAAACTCCAAACATTTAAATATCCTAAAATCAAGATTATTATAAACATTTTCAAAATAGATAAATAGAAACAAAGGAAACGTTAGAATGAAATATTTTAAAACCTTTTATACTCGTACTATTAATAAAACCTCTCCTCAACGATTTGTACCAAAAATTTGAAGAATTCACTTACTAATATTCAACAACGATGCTCTCCATTCAAGACGAAGCATTTTCAAAAATGTTATTCAGTACACGGGAAGATCTATTGATTTTAACGTGTCACAACTTTTTAAAATGTTCCGTACTTCACAGATTGCTTGACATCGAAATTAGTTGCCGTATGATATTTTCGGCGCCATGGCTCAACTCGCATGTAAATAAACTGCCAAAGGAACATTCATCCGTATATCGTAGGGCCGTATAGGTTAATAGATAACTCATAATGTTTAAAATGCTATATGAGAGAATGAGAAAGAAAGAAAGATCGAACGAGAGAGTGAAGAGTAGAAAGAAAGAGAGTGAGAGAGGGAGAGATGTCATATTACGTTCGACACGCGCAGTGTTGCCATGAGCTGAGATCCGTAATGCAACGATGACACGATTCCATGCGCGACTTTTAGAATGGGTTTGTGCAGAAATCGTGTTCGTTTTAATTTACAGTTTTGTTTTGCCCTTTTAGATTTTTTCATGAAACATTATGTTAAATTTGCTTCTATCTTAAAAGAAAGTTCACTATTACTTTTAACGGTATTGTCATATTGACTAGAAAGGAAACTAGTTTACTTATCATATACTTTTTATCACATGCAATTATCGAAACAAATTGAACATATTAAGTGCAAATATATGGAATATGTTTGCTCTGTATTTTGGATAAATTCAATTATCAGCTGATAAAGATTTGTACACAAACCTGACTAACTCATGTTCGGGACCAACTAAAGCCACCATCTACATCATTGCTTCCGACTTCTGCTTTCATTTCCGGTCATTATTTTCATTTATTATTTTCATACACGAAATACAAGAATAGTATAGATAGTTCTATATACATGATTTATTGAAATTTCAAGATTATTTCTATTTTAATGAATAATTGTTTATTTTTGTATTAGTTCAAAGTAAAAATTAACTATAGAAATAGCACTGAGACGTTTACTCATTTTCATAAGATAATTTACACAATCAAATTGAATATCATTATACATGCGAACTCGTTTTCTTATTCATCTTTCCTTTTGATGTACCGAAAACCAAATACATAAGAATTACGAACGTGAATATATTTCGACCAGAACAAAACATTCATAACGAGTCGTATCATCACTTTTGAAAGTTCAGTTCAGACGAACGATGATAGAATTCCTTGTCCTCGTACTAACAAACCATTTCTCCTCGAGGGCCTCAACGGGACCGAATTTCTCCGGATTTGAAAAATCAAAACGGGATCACGAACCCCCTTCCCTATTTCCCCCATGTTTACATGAATTTCGTAATCGATATAGAATCTCTTATCGTTCATTCACTTCATAATTTTTCATTTTACGTTGAAATAGTACCAACGATATTGTAACTAGAGTTGCAAGAATTATAGGAATTATAAGAATTAGCTGATTTACCAGATATCATTGTAAATATATTTGTCTTAATAACAGTGTCATGTGTTAAAAAAGAATTGATAGTTTGATAAAGAAACAAATAAGATATTTCATATTCAAAATTTTATTACAAACAATTTTTAGGTACTTTTAGATATTAATTACAGTGGAAATATTAAAGTAGTAATATTATTATTCCCTTATATTCCTTTGGAAGTATTGTTATTCAATTATATTAGAGTGAAAATATTATTTTATGTAAACTCTATTAATATTTCATTCACAATAATAGTTATTAAATAGCAATAAATCATTTTAATAATAATAAAACTTCATCTCTAACGTTTTTTCTTTTTTTCTCAAAAAGTAGGAAAAACAAAATCACCATAAAAATATTTAGGAGCTTGCAACTTTAGTTACGATCTTTGAAGGCATTTGAGAAAACAAAGTCCAAAGATATTCTTTTCCCAAAGATCATTTAGATGATATTAAAAAGGGCGCGAACATCGTACTCATTAAATATCCATAACGTTTAATTGCGGGGGGAAATAAGCTCCAGACTCACCCGTTTGTATTATAGAAAAAAAATAACAAAGGGGAAAGCAAAATAAATCCTCCGAACTACAAAATACGAAACCATTTGTAATAAGGATAGCGACTTTTTTAGTATTTATAAATCATCGAATAGATTTTAATAGTTAAATACATTTTTTTAACGTTCACTTCCCACTTTGTAAGCAAACCGCACGTTTATCGCTTGAACAGACGAGATTTCGATTTAACGAACGAAACGCGTAATTCCCAAGAACGAAAAAAGGAAAGGGGACAGGGAAAAAAGAAAATGCGCAAGGGATATATTGCATAGTTATCTAGTTAGCTTCGAATACTATCAAGGGATGTATTTCATGCGAAAGATTTTGCGGGTCTAGACTTATATCATCTATATGATATTGACGACGATAGACAATTATCAAGAATACCGCAAAGTCTATGGGAATAATCGTTAAAATATATCGATATTCAATAACTTACCTTACCTTGAAGCAAGGACGCAATAACTCGAAATGAGAAAGAACCAGTACCAAATTATCAAGATGATTCCTAACCTACATAGCAAAAATCAAACGCTTGTACTATGTACATATCGCTGTTTGAGAATCTGCATTCATAAATATTTCTGTAAGCAAAAATATTAAATTACAGTTAAAAGAACTAGTAAATAACATTTTTTTAAAAAAGATATTCGTTTTCTTTAGCATTAAAGTTACTCTTTCTCTTTGATTTATTTTATGTTTTATGCCTAACCTAAAAAAAATTTCTCTGACAAGTAAAAGGTAATAAATACATGTTATTAATGGCAATATTCAAATAATTAAAAAAAGATCAAAATCGATCGAGTTATTTCATCTTTGCAATAAGGTATCGGGTGTACTATTCTACTGCCACGTTCTAAAACTAGACAGAACTTTAAAATCATTGAATACCTAGTTCTATACACATCATCGCAGGATCATTACGTAGAGAACATTGGACGACTTAGTTCTCTCTTCATTTTATAAAGTTTCGAACACGATCGCATCTACCCCTGATCAAGTATTGATTTATTCGTGTCGCGCAACGCTGTAGAATTCATTTCGATCGTGAATGCAATTCTTGAATTATTCAAGATATAACATCATTGTTAGCAGCTGTAATAAAATGGAGAGAGAACTTTTGATAATATTTGATTGAAAACAGGAGCGCGTTTAATCAGCCTTACTTATACAATTATTATCTACATTATTATACTAAATTTATAAGCATGATTTGTGTACGTATATGTATGTTGACGTACTTACTTTTGATTATAGCCCTGTGAGAATGCTGTGGACAACGATTATCTCTGAGCAACGTATGGCTTGATACAGTATGTTTTTCAGATAGTTATTTTATCTCTTATCACATCATATGTATATCTTATTTACCTTTGTTGCTCGATACTCGTAATATTTATAAATGTAAAATTCTAGGCTATTTAAATGGCTGTGATACGTGTACTTTTATAATTTAGCATTTGTTATCGAACATCTAGTCATAACATGATTTATTTACATTTCTATATTTTCTATTTATTATGATACTATGTAGAAATATGTTATCAAAAGATATTTCTTTCTTTCTTTTTTTTTTTTTTTTTTTTTATTTAGCTTTTTGCTCCGGTTCTTT